TGGTGAGACGTCAGCTTTTACTTCGAAATGAACTGGGGGTCCCAGGCAGCCAAGGCCTTCGAAGTTTTCAGGATACTGTGTTAGTATGTCTTCCTTGGTGAGGTTCCCGGGTGGGGCCAGGCGTCGTTTGGAAGGGATCATTATAGGTTTAGAAGGTGAGGGCGTTGCTGGGTCACCGTATGGGTTGGCACTGTCGGGTTGGTCAGGGTGGCGGCCTTTTACTCCCTTGAGTGTACCGTTGGCTTGAGCTGCTGGGTCGCCTGGGTCTGGATTGGTTTGTGGCGAGCTGGCTGGGTAGGTAGGGGCTCTCTTGCCTGACGAGTCTCTTACTGCTGATGTGAGTGAGAATATTTCGTGTGCCCTGATGGTGATGAGCCCCAGTGCCTCGCAGTCGGAGCCAGAGAGAAGGGCTGGTTTGTTCATCATGACATCCCTAGGAAGTATCTGGAATGTGAGCGATTCGTATCGTTTGTTTCTTTCGCACAGAAGGTCGATCTGCCCCAGTGGTTTCAGCGGCTGGGAGTCGCCATAGGGGTGTAGTAGGTAGGGTGACTTTCTAAGCTTCATGTTTGGCATCAGCCTGAAAAGGGTATCTTCAGACAAGGTATTGCAGGTGGCGGCGGTGTCTATTTGGAATGTCACTGGGGTGAATTTGTTCCCTGTTGCAGACATGGGCAGTGTAACAAAGTATTTTTTCTTTGCGTGGGTTGTGTGGATACTGTGTATTTGCCGTGTTTCCAGGGAGTAGCACTGTTCTTGGTAGTCATCAGTGTAGTACTCCACAGGGTGTTGGTCATTTGTCATCTGCAGCATATGTACGTTTTGTTCACGAGGGGGTTTTGGTTGGGACCGGCCGCGAGGTGCTCTGTGGCCTCGCCCCCTACCCTGAGCTTGCCATTGGGTAGTTCTCCTTGGTTGTTCATGTTGGGGGGCGCCTGTCTCGAGACAGACTCTGGAGAAGTGGTCGTTAATTCCACACTTAGTGCAGGTTTTGCCATTTGCAGGGCATGTTTTCCAGGGGTGAGGTCTGCGTCGGTCTCCACACCAAAAGCAGGTTCCAGGCTCCCGCTTTAGTTTCATTTGTTTGTGGCTTATCCAATTAACTTGTTCCTCGATTCCTTTTGTGGCGTCTGTTATGAGTTTGTTGGCTTTTTGGGCTGACTCGAGGGCCTTGGCTTCGGCAACGACATCTTGCATGTTCTTGGGCATTCCGTCCGACTTTAAATGCGTTTTTAGTAACTCAGCTCTCATTGTGCCATCGTGCAAGCCAAAAACGAATTTGTCACGGCACATTTCGTCGGTCAGTGCATTGTACGAGCACAGGCTGCCCGCCTGTCTGACCTTAACTTCCCATTCCTGAACAGATTCGTGTGGGCTTTGCTGAGTGTTCCAGAATTTAAATCTGTCCGCCAATAGGGAGCTTCCGATAGATCCAGTGTAATGAAGTCGTAATTTGTCCATCCAGATCCATGGTTTTTTCTGATCATCAGCTGCTATCTGGGGTTCAATTGTGTAACGGATCACTTGCAAGGCTTCGTCCGGCATTGCCGATCGGAGCGCTGATATTTCCAGTAACGGTTTCTTGTAGTAATCTGCTCTCTCTGTCTCGGGGTTTTTCGCTAAGTTTCGGTAGTCTGCTTGGATGCAGTAGTCGTGGAATCTGAGTTCGAAGTTCTTGAAATTTTCTGACATATTCCCGCCGAGTTTCAATTCAGGTCGCTTGAGGTTCGCCATCGCTGTTTGACGAGTCGGCTGTGGTCGTTGAATTCGCTAAATGTACGTTTGCTCTCCGTAAATGCTTCTCTTGTCGATTTATCGGATCTATCCCACTTCTGACACCATGTCAGGCAGTACAGACGACTCAAACAATATCGAGGGCTCAATGAACACAGTCTTTATTCCCGAGCTTGACCACGAGCACTTCGTGTTACAACAACAACAATAATTGGGGAGCCCGGATGTAGTTTCCCTCAGGGAGGGCCTAGGTACAAGTGACGGGCCAACAAAGGTATTAGGTTTCAGCCCTGGCCACATCAACTTTTTATTTTTTTATTTATTAATTTTTTTAAATTTAAATTTAAATTATTTTTCAAAGGATTTGCTGAATTTGTTCAGAGTAAATGCACATGTGCGAATGTGTGATGACTCAGCTGTTATGTTCAGATTGAAAACAATGTTGAAATGAAGAGGTCAGACCCTGTGAAAAACATTTAACTAAACCCCAAAAAAGTGTATACAAATCCTAACAAACCTGATTAGATCTGTTCCATGATGGCCAGTGTCAGAACTGAACCAGGATGGGTCACAAGAGATGTAATATGAGTGTCTCACAATAGTCCACCATTTTGAAAACTGTGCAAGGTTTGGGGGAAGGTTTACAGATGTACAGGACACCATGACATAGTGTCCATGGCCCTCCTGGAAGGATTGCACAGTAGGCACAAAAATGGTGGCTCAGTGCATTTATTTCTATGAGGGACCTCCACCTCACCTCACAGGCCACTCAAAACTCATTACACAGGGAGGGTTTTGTTCCCAGGTTATGCTGGAGGAACAAACTACAGCAGCAAAGCTCTTTTGCATGTATCAGTTGGGTATATTTCATCCTCTGAGGCAGAATTTTCATACCATAAAATGAAATGGGCCATTAGATAAACCCAGGTATTTCAAAGGGTGGATAGCCTCTATCCAATGGTTTAATAGCTATTCAGTGGATAATTGTTTTATAAAATGTATTGCATTATTCACTGGATAGAGATTTATCCAGTTAATAGACATTTATCCAGTTAGTAGTAATATCCACCTTTTGAGCAACTGGGGCCAGATGAAAAATTGGGTGTAAGGTCTTGAGGTTAATTGAACAAACCTGAAAATGCTTGTCTGTATGCACTGGTTGTGCAAATTGAAACATGCCCTAAGAGAAAAACCCTTTGAGTGTAATGATGGTAACTACTCTATGCATAAGTAAATGCCATCATGCATTCACACATTGACAGTTCAGTTCGTCTAGATTCACACATACTACATTTGCAACCCATGGTGCCACACACAGTTGGAATAATTAAAATGCTGAGTCAAAAACACAAAGAAATAATTTTCTGCCCTTACTATTGTACATAATTTATGTGCTTTATGTAAATAACAAACTGGGATAGATAATTACTTTATTTATTCTGAATTTCAGGGGAACTGGCAGCTATTACAGAGGATGTGTTAAACCACCTGAAAGATTTATCAGTACCCAACTGTCAGGGGGACTCAGTGCGCTATATCAAAAGCTTGAAGAAAAAAAAACAAGGCTTGTGTAAGGAAGAAACTCTACTGCTCAGAGCGGCTACAATACCAAAAGGTTTAGTATGATTCTGCAGTGCTGCCAATTTCACTGCCATTCTCCTAAGTTCTACTGAGTAAACAGGCAGATTCACTATCAGCTAACTCATCCACTGGGTGTATTTTGGTACATATTACTTGTACAACTCTTTACACTTATTTGAAAGGAGGCAAACAATAAGAAAAGTATATGAATTTGCAAATGAGTCAAACCTCTCGTTAGAACATTAGGAAAAAATCCTTTCTGTCATTGGGGGAAATCAAGTGGGGAATTTTTCTTGCATACTGTTCAGAAACAAGACAAGTCACGTTTCAGTCTTATCTGAAAGGATAAGTGGATGATAGATTTTTTATTTTTTGATTTTGAACATGAGGATGGTTGATTATTACCGCGCATCAGCCCATGACTCTGCAGCCTAGTTTTGATTTGTTTTAATTATGTAAAAATCAACACAGGAGAACCAGAATGTGTACACACATTAGCTGCGATGACATTTTTATTTTTATTTTTTTTTATTTTTTGCTCAGTATTAGCATCACATACTGGCAAAGATGGTAAATTCAAGCCTAATGTTACCCAGGTAACTTCTCTGTGTCAGTTCAGTAACTGCATCAATTACACTGAAGATTTGCAATCATTATAAAAAAGCATGTTTCTGTAAAGCTACAGTTATCTTGTGAATTCAAAATTTAAAAACAGTAGATTAAAGAAGGTTTTTAAGTATGTGTAGCTTGGACTAAAGAAATATGACACAAAAATAAATTGTTATGGCAAAATGTATCAAATTAATACATTTTTTTTTCAATTTTAATTGCTGTTGATTTCTTCTTTATAATTTTCTTTCTGGTAGTTCCATTGCTTGCTGGAAGATACAAATTTATTCAAGTTATTGGTGAAGGGGAATCATCACTCTTAATTTCAGCAGAGGTAAGGTATACAAAATGCACATACAGACTGGAAATTATGTTTTTTAATTACAGTGCTGTAATTGTCTCTGAAAATACCAGTACCTTGTGTTATACCTGTCAACTTTATACCTATATTTATATGAATTTTTTCCCAAGAGTGTTACTGCTACATCACTTTCTGACAAACTTATTAATTACTTTCAGCATAATTGGTTAAAAACTTGCCACTGAACCCTTTAACTCCCAGAGGTGATCAACAAGAAACTTCTCCCTTTAATATCTGTACATTGTATAGCAAACAGGTAATGAGATACTCAAACTGATCAGGATAAAAGTTGTTGTCTTGATCTAACACCAAATTCTAGTAACTAGTTGAATAGAAAAGATGTAGCAGCTAGAGGGGAGAATTAACAATCTGATCTAAGGAGTTAAATGGGAAAAGACATTCAAAGGTGTTTCAAATGCAATTCAGAGGTGTATCATATGTTTCAAGATAACCTCTTCCATAACTGCAAAGGTCCATTCCTTCTAGAAACAGCCCAAAACATTTAAAACCTAAGGGCCTGTGCTGCTTAATTCCATTCTCAGCCTCTACTATAAACAATAGTTTCCTCTCTGGTTATGGAACTTATTTTGTGATTGGACCAAAACTGATCAGTTCACTCTGCATGCATGTATATTCACCAGAGCTTACATTCATAATAATTTTTTTTGTAAATGATACCTACCATTTTGAAAAGAAGCAAGTTGCTCTAAAGATAATGAATTTGGATTATTCCAGACTTGGAGCTCAGGTACACTGTAAGTGTCTATAGAGTTTAATATGCATACAGCTGTAAGTGATAAGGTACGTTTCAGATAAGCAAGCCACAAATGAATCTGTTATATGCAGATCTGAGAGTGCTGCTGAAACTGTAACTACTGAAAAGAGCTTGCATGCAACCATGTGTACTTTGACATGAGGTGTACATTGTCAGTGGAAACTGTTCAAGATGTAGAGTACATGTACATGCAAAGATCTTTGAGCTGATTTTCTACAACTGAAGGTAGATTATTTTAACTTACTATCTACTTTGTATTACACGAATTTACTTATTTACAAAACTGTTGCAGGAGGCAGATTGCATTCAACAGCTCAACAAGGCTGATCCTCTCGATGTTCCCAGAACTGTCCAGTTGTTTGTAAGTCATGAATCCAATCCTTTTTGAGTACTGAATCACATGAAACAAAATATCTGCTTGTTGTTAAATAGGACTGATTTTATACAGTCACTGTAAGTATCACTCCACCTTTTTGATAGCATATGAAAAATCATAAAAAGAGAAGAAACTGACCCTACTGAAGGACAAAAATGATGTAAACTCAACAGTATTAAACACCACTGGCCTTAACTGACAAGGCAATTTGACCAATGACCTTGGATTGAGAATGGTGAATGCTTTGCCTTTCATCCATCAACTTGACATAGTGGTGCAAACTAGGTTTTCTGCATGTCAACACTTAATTGGCAGTATCAAACATGCATAAAAAATCATTGTAATTTACTTGTATGCAGTTACAGCTTTTCTTGTAAAACACCACAGTTTTAATGATTTCCAATTGGTTCTTTGTTTTACAATAATTGTAACATAGCACTGATATATTTGGTACACGAGTACAAGAATGTATTCTATGTAGAGGACCCAGTTCACTGACCTTGCATTTTTGCCAATTTGACATATTTGCTTGTGGATTTTTAGAATGTTTTCAGTTTTGAGGGCCATTACTGCTTGGTTTTTGAGCTGTTGAGACCTCAGCCACTCCATCAATACTTTCAGGTTGGTTAAATTATAAACAGTGTAATTTAGTATTATCAACGGAGCTGATAATGTAAATTGGCCTCTGTTAAGAGTTTCAAAGCTGTTTCAAGCATTAGCCCTTTGTCAAAGGGATTGGTGAAGGGCTAACATTCAAAATGTCAGCTTTGAAACTCTTAATGGTGGCTAATTTACGTTATCACCCAGGTAAAAATGTAAGGTGGGATCCCGCCAATCCCAGCTGGGATCCCAGGTGTGTCCCAGGTGGGATCCCGGGTGGGATTATGGAACATCCCGCATGGGATCCCACCTGGGATTATGGAACATCCCGCATGGGATCCCACCTAGGATTATGGAACATCCCACATGGGATCCCACCTGGGATTATGGAACATCCCGCATGGGATCCCACCTGGGATTATGGAACATCCCGCATGGGATCCCACCTGGGATTATGGAACATCCCACATGGGATCCCACCTGGGATTATGGAACATCCTGCATGGGATCCCACATGGGATCCCACCAATTGAAGTTGGGATCCAGCCTTAAATTCCTAATAGCATCCCACCTGGGAAAGCACATCCTGGGCAGGATTAAACCTAGAATCCCACCAATCCCTCTTGGGATCCTGCCTCAAATTTCAGATAGTTTCCCACTTGGGAAATCATATCCTAGGCGGGATTGCATCTGGGATCCTGCCAATCCCAGTTTAGACCCTGCATAAAATTCAGAAAAATCCTTTGAGGGATCCTGTTTATGACTGGAGACCACAGATTTATGAAATGTACCAGATAGGATATCTTAAAATTAAGAGGATAAAATTTTCTAGGTGAGCTATAGACCCCATCAATCCACTGAGGGTCCAAAACTTTCCAACTAGCTATAGAACATACTGACACCTCCAATGGGATCCCATTGTCTTACCAAACTTTTGATCATAAATGATTCAAACAGTACATGAATACACAGACTATATGTGATAAAGATCTCATATTTTATTTGCAATGAATCAGCATGTGTTTGACTTGTTTCATTAACAAATTTCTTAACCAAACATTCTTAAAGAATAACAGCACAACTCAGCATATTACTTTTTCTTCATCATTTAAGCAGACCATCTGCAGTGTAATAAGGCTCAACGTTTAAAAAAATTGGCTGTCAAAGAATAAAAGAAAGACAAAACCTCAATAATTCATGTTATCAAAATTTTGACAAAGGTACTGATTGAAAGTCTGCTCTCTCTTCAGTCGAATTTTTCAAAGCAAAGCAAGGTCAGAATGTTCCCAAATGTGACTAAAGTAATCTTGAAACCTTACTCATAGATTTATTTCATTGTAAAGTGTAAGCTTAGGAAACTGCAGCATGCAAGCGACCAATTCGATTCTCAGAATTATTTGAGTTTCAGTTGCGCTGAGCGTTAGGTAAGCTTAATTCAAGCCGTTATTTCTATTCTTTGATAAGATTTTGATCACGTAACGAATATGGCAATTTGTACTCACCACAAACTTCTAAAAATCCTAGCTTTAAATGGCCACTCGATCGTTGTTTGAACCAGTCGATATGTCAACTGTTAATTGTCCCTTCTTTTAAGTTCACGGCGCCAACGACTCTCGTTTTCCCATTAAACCACAATAAAACCAATCTTTAGAGGTGTTATATTAAGCAAAACAGTTGGGAAAAGAAACAACTTGAAGCAAGAGCGGTTAACCGATGAAAAGTACATTCAAAGATGAGCGCCAAATGGAGTTTTCTTTGTTTCCGATCACGGGCATGATCACGTGGACCTTTTGCCAAAGAGAGTCCGCTGCCTTGACCCATTGCAGTCTCAAGAGAAGCGCGCAACATTATTCTGTCTCTTCTGATCGGTTCTCCTCTCTTAGATGGTGGATACCTTGGATTCATGTTTTGATGATGACATAAATAATGATATGAATTCACTCTATGAAATAATCGAAATAATTCATGAAAACATTTTTTACAAGGTTGAAACCCTACAAGGTATAGAAAAATTTTGTTGATTGAGCTGTTATTATTGAACTGTGACTTGCATTTAAGAAATTAAGTTATGAAAAGAAACTCGGAGTACTTTCACTACTAACAAGTCTTGTTTTTAAATCAATTGTTGTACTTTGAAGTCATTTCAAAGGTGTATTTTCTCAAAGGGAACACGTATTATATTTTTAAATCATCATTTTCTTAAAAACAGCAAAACAAAATGTCAGGCGGGTTTGATCACCAGGAAGGTAAGAGTGTTTAATGTATTACCATCTGTGCATTGTATGTTTTCATTGTTAAATTTATTGTCATCTTTGTTAAAAACATGACTTAATGTACATGTACAGAGTTTTGGCAAGATCATCATCTAACCACATACATTCTGTAATATCAGTCACTCAACAGTGTTTTCTTGATTTTGTTTACTAACAGGATGAAAAACTGAAAGTCATCAGGAAAATTAAATTTTTCAAGTGAGCAAACCTTTTTTTTTAATTCTTATAACTACTTTTGATTCAAGTTATTTCAAATAAGATTGCATCAGTTTTCTTTTGTCAGCTATAAGAACTTACAAAGACCATTTTTAAGTTACCTTTCATGAAGATGAAACTTGTTGTGCATCAAATTTATTGAAATCAAAATTATTATAATAGTTTTTTTTAATAAATCGATGTGGTTATTTTCTTTTAGCTCTCACAAGCTCTTGGATTCCTAGGGAGGTAAGATTATCAATAGGTGTTCTTTTTAGACTCTCTAGAATTACTCATCTGTACCCACAAGTGGCTTCATTTTATTTCATTGTCAAGGGACTCCTCTCTTGCCCATCTTTTGGTGATGCCACCATGTTGTTCCAGGTTGGAAGTGAGATGTTTATTCTGAATTTTGGCAAATAGAAGGGGATCTTTTTCAAAAGGGGGTGCTCATTTGAGAGCTGATTTCAGGATTTTATGTGCTTCGATCTCATTCAACTTTCCATATGAATCCACAGACAGAATGTCATCCATGCTGACTTGAAACCAGAGAACATTCTTTTTGAAGAAGGTGAAGTGGTGTGTTTGCAACAAACAAATCATCAAAAAATTTGATTTAACTTAATGGACTTAAAAAGTCTTCCTTTTTAAAGATAGCTGTAATATTTTGCTCTGGTTAAATATATTAAACAACAGCTATAGCATTTTGTAAGAAAAACAGACCAACATTTTATACAATGTCAGATTCTGAAGATATACAATACAGTGGTCAGTGAAGGACTACTTTGATGAATACTCAGAGTTCATTATCAGCTACAATCATTTGCCTAACAAAAAATATCATGAACATACCATCCCATTTTTGTTTCTGCTATACAAAGGCATGTGTATGTTATCATGATGGTGCCTGGATGCCTTGTATAGGGCCCCATGTCTTAGTTGCAAACATTTTGATGCATGGGAGCAGTAGCCTCAGAATTTATGGACTAAGCCTTTATAAACTTAGCCTTTCTTACATTTCTGACAGCCAACCTCCACTGAGAGATCTGATTGTCAATACACTGTAATAAAACAACTTTTTTTTGTACACTTAACAATTTTAGTCACAGACCTGAAGGTGAACAGTGGTGGATATTTACCTCACTGCTTTGCAGCATGGTGAATATCCACCAGTTTCACTGACACTGACAGAAGTGAATAAATTTGTTAGTATATACCACACAGATACCAAAAAATTAGTTTATTTCTTTCAATATACCAAAAATTGATCAGAAATTAAACTCTTAACATATGATTTTGTCTCTTTGGCTGCATGGAGGTGAATAGAACTTGGTATTCACTTTGGAACTAGCCAATCAGCACATGCAAAAAGCACTATTTACTTGTTTGGTATGTACTAAAATTGTATATTATATTAACAAACTGTAGGTGACGAAACCAAGATAAAAGTTGTTGACTTTGGAAATGCAATTCACTGGGTTCATAGAGAGGTACATGTAATTTCTATTATTTGGTAATTTCAGTGACTTAATTTTAAATGTGTGCAGCTAGATGCATCAGAATTGTTGTACTGTAGACTTTATGAACCCTTTACACCCTAACATCAATATGCATATTCTTTATACTGCTCTCATACATTTGCTGAAGCACTGACAAGGAGAATTTCTTTAAAAATCAAGAGCTTTATAAGTTGGTGATCATTTCCTAGTTTCCTGTGACTTTAATGTGTGATTCAGGGGTCTGATCACTCTTAGGGATTAAGGGGTTAAAAGATCCTATTCAAAGTATAATGATAGGTAAATTCTGTACAGAGGGCAAGGGCTCATACCAGCTGTGAAAAATTGTTTACAGAGAATTGTGCACTATGTGTTTACCCCTTTAACATGTAACTTCTCCCTAGAATATCCATACTTTTTCCAACAAACAGTTAATGAGATTACGCAAACTTATCAGGTAGAAGTTCTTATCTTGATCTAGTATCAGATTCTCAAAAATAATTTATAAGAAAATATGGGGCAGCTAAAGGGGAGAAGCTACAGCCATTTTGATCGCCATGGCAAGTGAAAATATATTTGGCTACTAAAATGTTGGCAAAAGTCACCAATTGGTGACAAACAGATAAAAAAACAAAAAAAGAAAAAAGAGGCAGCCAAAAATTTTTAAATGGTGACCATTTTAAATTTGAAGGTTGCCAAAAGGCAACTCTTTGGAAAAATGAGCTTGGAGCCCTGTCAGCCACCATTAGTAATGACATATGATAATTATTCAAAATATGTAATTTAATTCTTATTTTCTTCTGTTTAATTCTGTCAGGTTTCCTTGTATTATGATGAGTTTGAACTACAAACTTTACTTTACAGAGCTCCTGAGGTAAAGTAAAGATATTGTTGTTTTCATGAATTTGGAGACAAATTTTACATGTAGGTTACAAGCATGCAACTTCAGTGTTTTCCGAATCAATCGAAGGAAAATAAAAGTAGATTAAACTATTTTATTTGGAATTGCATGAATTGAAGCACTCTCTGAAAGATGATCAGTGAAGTTCTGCCATTTTGTGTTTTATAAAACAACTTAATGCAGCTGGCCTGTTGCAGATGGAAAATTCTGTTCTATGGTGTATCATTTCAAGAAACATATCGGAAAAAAATATTTCAATTCACACAATCATTTTTACGATGATTGTATGTCAGGTACAAATAGAAGGGGGATGTACATATTAGGACCATTTTTAAGTGGTTGTTGGAAACTTGAATTTTAAAGTTCAGTCTATGGAAGAAGGTCCCACTAAATGTTGTTCAATGCAATGAGGTACAGTGTCTCCCACTTGATAACTTTGATGGCAGTCAGTTGAAACTGAAAGCTCTGTGTCAATTCTTTCCAGGTAATGTTTGGTGTTCCTTTTGGCCCTGAGATTGACATTTGGTCTCTGGGATGCATTGTAGCCGAGGTAAATGGTTAATTGACTAAGTGTATGTTCTCACCATAATTAAAAAATCGTTAATGAATATTATACCATTAGTCAGAGCTAATAACAGATGATACTTGGCAGTTTTACGATGGATATTTCTCTGTATTTCTCTCACCCAGCCATTAATGTTACTGGTGAGGAAATGAAATAATTGGTTTCAGTTGTATATAGGCAAACCTTTATTTCTGGGAGGAAATAGGACTAAAGTGTTGCAAGAGGTATGTTTTTGTTTTGTTTTTTTTTATTATTGGCACTTTTACAAGCGGTTTATGACCTAAGGTAACTAAATACGCTAATAAGAATGCCGCTAATAGTAACTGCCTTTCTGGCTACACTTTATTTAGACTTCCTCCATTTTGGGGAAGTGTGAATACAAACAAAATTGCAATTACCCCCAATTCTTGACCTTCTGGGTACTGTACTTTATAAGTTCAATCAATTTTTTTCAAATTCTTTTTCATGCTTGGTTGCAGGTAACCAGTATTATTGGTCCCATACCCTGGAGTCCATTCCATACTGGAAAATTTTTTGAAGATTTGTCACAGTTTATAGGCCACCACAACTCAGGTATATTCAAGTTTAAAATGATTCAAATGTAATCAAGTTTTTCAAACTGTTTTGGTAATCCTTACCTAGTCCGCAACATCATTTAAATGGTCTCTGCAAATATTTTATAAATCCAGGTACACAAGTTAAATAAACAATTGATTTAACCCTTTAACTCCTAAGAGTGACTAACATATAATTTCTCCACACAACATCAGCCCTGAGTCAAACATCAAGGTCATGAGAATAAAGGAAATGATCACCAACTAAAGATGCTCTCGATTGTTAAACAAATTCTCCTTGTCAGAGCCTTAGGAAATGTATAAAGAACAGTATGGAGAATATGCATACTGATGTTAGGGTGTAAAGGGTTAATGTATACAATATAATCTCATGCCAATGAGGCCCAAGTTGTTCAAAGGCCACATAGAACTTTTAACCCTTTCACCCCTAATGGTGATGAATATCTAAATTTTTCTTACAACATCAGCCCTGAATCAAACATTAAGGCTAGGAGAATAAGGGAGATGATCACCAACTAAAGAAGCTCTTGATTGTTGAACAAATTCTCCTTGTCAGAGCCTTAGGAAATGTCTAGAGAGTAGTATGGAGAATATGCATACTGATGTAAGGGAGGAAAGGGTTAAGACAATTACAAAATAGCAAAAGACAATTTATCCTTTGTATGAGGGACGAACCATTGGAAAGAGAGCAATGCTTAGAGGTGGTTCAATGAGATGCCTAGAAAAAAAGTATCCTTTCATTTACCTTTCCAACTATTTCTGCCCCTAAAAAATGAATGGTCAAAAATATCCATAAATAAAATAGCAAGTAATTTAGTGTTAACAACTGGGTTGAAAACGTAAATTAGCGATCGTAAAGGGTAAAAAAGCTGACGTTTCGAGCGTTAGCCCTTCGACGGAGCAATTAGAAGAATTGTGGGTTGTGTGTGGGTTTATATGCAGAAAGTGGAGCTACGCCATTGGTGGGAATATGGTGACGAGAAAACAGGAGTAAATTAGTTTAATTTATTCTATTTAGTCTTGCAGATGTGTGGGGGACCGACCAGCGCTTTGCCAAGAAAATCGGAGAAAGAACGCTGTTTGTCACTCATGGGGAGAGTTGCTCCAAGATAAGCGTTGACGCTCTAGGTAGCATTTCCTTCAGTACTGTGCTTGAACGCTGCAGCAACCAAGAAGAGGCAGATACTCGAATGTTTCTGCATGCCTTGCATTCCTCTGATGCGGCCCATCAACAGATCTTAATCAAGTCATCGGGCACCGATGTAGAAGTATTGGCGTGCAACTTTCGAGAGTACATAAGTGCTGACATCTTTCTTCTCTGTGGCACAAGAAGTCGAGCTCGTGTCATCAATGTCACCTAGGTCTGTGAGCAGCTAGATGTCGAGGTGTATCAGGCATTACCAGGGCTACACGTACTCACTGGGTGCGACACAGTAAGCTCTTTTGCTGGAAAAGGGAAAAAGGCGGCTCTTGATGTCGTGAAAGCTGACGAAAACAGCAGAGCAAGTATCCATAGAATCGGCGAGTGTGTCCCACCAATCAGAGAAGATCTTGGAAAAATGGAGAAGTTCGTTTGTTCACTTTACAATGATTTTAGTTGTTGTATAGTCAACGATACGAGATACAAGTTATTCTGCAAAATCCAGAATCTACAGTCGTACCAGCTTCCTCCCACCCATGCTGCCCCATAAAAGCATCTACAACGCGCAAACTACCAAGCTTATGTTTGGAAACATGCATTGGATGCAAGAATTCTAAACCAAGGACCAGATGGTCAAGGATGGTGAGTTAGAGGAGAGGCGCTGGAGATCAACTGGACCGACCTCGCGCTGGCCCTGGAATCTGTAATGGAGCTAGTGTGCTGTGGCTGCAGAGGATAGTGTGAAACCCGTAGGTGCTCTTGCGTCAAGAACGAACTCCACTGCACAGAGGCATGTTCCTGTGGGGAAGAATGTGTCAACTGTGACAACAGTCAATTCAGCGGTGATGAGGACGACTCCACCAGTAGTGAGGAAGAAGATGACCTGTAAAAGTTATCTCATGATATACCGTATTGCGGTTGTGACAAATTTCTCGAAACGTTTCTTGAAATCTAACGTCAATGCAGATTATGTACGAAGAACGTTGCAAGCGTTGCTATGGAAACATACAATGCCACTGGCATTGCTATATTAGTTAGTAGTAGGCATTGCTTTATAATGTATAATGATAAACTTTCCATTGCTCAATAAAGTGAGATGCATTGCTCAATAAGGAGATGATTGTTTTTCCTTTTTGTATTTGCTTGGCTTTTACCAGGTGTGGCCCCAATTCCAGAGGAATGCCACTCATCCTTGCTTTCCTGCCATAGCCATTTTCCAGACATTGATGCATCTTTGGGACATCTTCAATAGAATTAAGGTGTCTCAGAGCAAACGCTCTTACTGTAGAATACTTTTATGGGTGTTTTCTCGAGTTAAATATATAAAATTTCATTTTTTATTCGAAAAATCACACATTTTCATATCCGAGCAGTATTTGACTGGTGCCTGTTGCCATGGAAACAAAAAACCTTAGGTCCGATAACACATTTGGGTAGCTTATGATACAACAACTATATCTTGCAAATTTGAACCAATTTGGTTGATGTTTGTTAGAGGCATGGACCATTTATCTTATCACCACGTCTATAGTAAGCAAACTCTCCTCACCCCATCCCCCATGGAAACAGCCCAATATCTCATTACAGCGCACGTTACCGATTTGAAAACAGGTAGATTCTAAAAATATAGGTCATAAGCTTTAATTTGATATCAAATTAACTATGTCCCATGGGGGGTGCTACGAGGCATAACTTTTAGGCCCCTTGGCTCATGGACTATTCGGAAATTTATTGCCTCAACAAGGAGATAAGAAAACACGTTTGTTCTTGCCTTCCATTGAACTACATAAATGCAAATTAGCCCTATGCCGTCGCCATGAAATGAACTTCTGAGCAAGAAATTTACTTTTTACATAGGAATCACCTTTTTTACAGTTTCTAGTACTTCGTCGTTTATGTAGTGACGACTCTAATTTTTCCGAAAAATCAGAAAACCTGGTTAAAATTTTCAGAAATATTAACTCGATGAAAATTGGTTAAGATGTAACAACGGGGATAAATTTTTGATCGGCCGCTCTGAAATGGGCTATGAAGAGGGTGAACTTCCGATGCGCACTACGCAAATTTCCAAGGCAGTTCTTCCGACCGTGATGTTGATTTTGCGTAGATGTCTGAGATTTTGCCCCCGCTACACAACCGAACACACAAAACAACACTTGGAGGCATGGGCGCGTCGGTCAGCCAGGCCCTTGATACGTTTTATTAACTCACGTGTAAAACTCCACCGTCTTCTCGAATAGGACGTAAAACCGTAGGTCCTGTCTCCTACAGGGTTAGGGGTAGGAAACGTTAATTTTCCACGCACGAGATTACTGTGTGGTGTATGTCCTCCCCTGGGGTGGGATGGGTGGGAAGGTGAGATCGTTACATGGACTGAAGCGGCTGCCAGAGTCGCCTGATAAAATGCTGACGTCCGATCTCAACCTTACAACAACTCGCAATTCAGCACCAATTGCTGCAAGTAGTTGTTTCGAAATAAACTCAAACTACCTTATTTACAGTAATTCTAAGAACACGCCACGGCCGGACACGTAAACCCGAAAAAAACAAATATTGGAAAAATAGGGACCGTGTAACCCCAACCCATGCCATGGCGTCGCCTTTGGGGTTATAAGGCAAAACTAATGAAAACTAAGGCTAACAGAGTTAGTGAAAACTAAACTAAACAGAGCAAGATGACGCGGTGAGGCCGACCGTAGAATGACACGCATAACTAACCGGTCACTATTTCAAACCCCCTTACCGCGCTCCCCCGCGCGCTACACCAGAACCCAGTTCACCGTTCCGTGCCGGCAAAATAATCATTGATGTTAATTCTTATTTACACAAATTACATTATTCTTCATCGCTGTCGATTGAATCTTCCCTGATATTAGGTCTTTCCGATAAATCAGCGATAGCTTGAGGAAAGCACTAATCCTGCCATGCGTGGCTTTTGTGGAGAGCCCTTTCGTATAATCATCGAGTCCTTTCAAGCACTCAGCCGTATTCTGTCACTATTTATGTTTATGACTCTCGCTTCTGAGCGGCTGTTTACCGATAGAGAATTATATGGATTGTTGCGCTTAAATAAGTTATCTTGTTGTGGCTGTTGTTTACCGGACGCCATGTTCAGAAGCTTATGCACTTATTTGTGCTACGTAAAACAACGTTCCCCACACACACCGCGATGACTGAAACATTTTGTGACAAGAACAATGCACGGCACTGGTAAGAGACCACTAACCTGAGTTTAACTACGCAGAAAGGTAGTTTAACATTGAACAAACTCGGTTATAAAATTTAGTGTTCTTCAGTGAATTTCTATGGTTACTGTTAACCCAGTTTCAGTTCGATAAAACGCCAAAAAAGCGGTCTCATCACGATTTTTCGGTTTTCAATTATTATCAATATACGCGGCCAAATAGAAAATCGGCCTCTGCAAAACACACGCTCAGCGGGCCGCAAAAGACTGACAGCGGGCTGCTAATGCATTATCAGCCCTACAGCTGATTGGTTCTTGCTTCATCATCCGATGGATTTTAACCAATTAGAGAAAGCCTAGTGTTGACGCGGGAAAACCATTCATTTGCGAAACTCCGGTTTTGAACTGCAGTTTTTTCAGTCGTCGAATCGTCTTCGAGCGAAAATTGAAGTAATGGAAGAAATTAGCAGTCAAAACTCAGATTTGGGGCTAGAAGATTTGGACAAATTAGAAGCAAAAGGTCAGGCGGAAAATAAATAATAAGGTTAACTTTGTGATATGCCTATTATTTATAGACGATTTTAAGCATTTTTTCGGTAATTTTCGATAAGTTCACTGGACTGAGTTGATTCTTTAATAGCTTGTTCAATCAACACTTACATGATGATTTGAAGTGACTTTGAATTCGTCATTCACTTAGCTTGTATTATTAAAACTCGCATTCTTGACTTTTTTCGGGAATATTGTTTATTTGCGCCCTTGTAGTGTCATTTGCGGCGGCCCTCGCCCTCGACACTACGCGGGCGCAAATAAACAATATTCCCTCAAAAAGTCATGTTATTCCCTTATTGACAGATTAGAAATAACCCGATTAACTCGCTATTAAGTGTTATCTCTTTTTTATTTTTTTGTTCAAAATACACAGAACTTTGAGTTTTTTCGTTTTTGTGTTATGAACTTGTTTATTGCCACAACACAGCGGGCAGCGCAGTGAATGAAGCAAGACTTGTTTCATCCGGCATCTCCCTGGAAGGTGTAGGGCAGTTAATTGTAAGTTTGATTAAGGTATTAAGAAAACCTTTATAAATCAAAATAAATTCAAATACCTCTGTTGTGTTATTTCTAGATGCTGGAAGCTGCACAGACATTTTGTTTCCTACTGAGTATAACTTCAAACCATACGTTGACGAGGAAGTTAAAAGGCAGCATTTTTCTGGAACTGAACTCTTAAAGAAGGGAACTACTGTAACTGTTTCTTCACCAACCACTTTCAGAGCAAACCGGAGAATGCAACATCTGTGAGGACTGGAAATCTACATTGTTCTCAAACAGAAAAGGTGACAATTACTGAGGAATCTCATCGGGAAGACCAGTTGTTATGCCATGGAAGGTCCTCTTGCCACAGGTTACCCTAAATCAACTCACCAACAGAACGAGACGTGTGCCGTTTTTAAAAGTAATGCATGCACTGATGATATAGAAGAAGAACGTAAACAGGTCACGGACAGGCTCACCTCTACTCTCCTGACGGCGACAAATCTTTCTTTCTGGAAAAAATTTCAGAAAAAAAAGTAAAGTGTCATGAGAAGGATTATTTGTCAGCAGGAACCTATATTACTTGTCCTGATAATGCGTTCGAAAGACCTTCAGCGAGACTCGTAAATAACAAAAGCTCCCGGTCTAAGCACAAAAGCGATGTCTTTAAAGACACTTATTTAGAAGAGGGAAGCCGCCAAAAGTCTCTTGAACTTTCTTCATATGGGGTCAAGAACTTTAGAAGCACAAACTTACTCGAGCATCACAACAGATTTAATATTCCTGGAAAACTAGGATTTGATGTGGGCAATTCTTCCTCTGGTGTGGTGGGCGGGAAGAGCAACTGTGACAGATGTAAATCTTCGAGCGAATTTGAGAGTGGGAAAGGTTCGTGACGTGTATACGCATTTTTTAAAATTTTTTTAATTTTTTTTCTAAATGCGCGTGCGTTTATATGGAAGAGATTTCCGGTTGATGTCCATGCTCCTTAATTTGGCAGTTGATCTACTTTTTCATGTATCAATCAATGACATGTAGCTAGGTTGTGGCGACCAGTCAATCAGTTAGGCAGGCAGGAAGGCAGTTGATCTACATTTTCATGTACCAACCAATCACATGTAGCTTGTCAGTGGAGACTAGTCAGTAGTTCAATCAGTCAGGCAAAGAGGCAGGTACGCAGCTGGCTCGGAAGTAAAATTTTCGGCTAGACAGTCAAGCAAGCAGTCAACTGGTTAGCCAGTTGTTCAGTACTTCACTCACGCAGGTATGTTTGAGTTGAACGGTCAGACAGTCAATGTGTTAGCTATTCACTCAGTCAGTCAATCAATGAATTTTTCAGTCAATCAGCCTGAATGGCAGGCACCCAGCAAACAAATCAGTAAGTCAGTAAATCATCCAGCTACATGTAGTACGCGAGATGGTTAATCGGCTGGTCAGTTGGCTCCCAAGGCACGCCTCCATAAGCGAAAAGAAAAATCACCAAGATGCTGGGGTATTGATCAATCAGAACTTAACAATCAGTTAGTCAGTGAGTGAGTCGGTCGGTCGGTCTCTTGGTCATTCAGTCAGTCAGTGACTCAATCAGGCAGGTAGTCGGTCGGTTGGTCTTTTATTCGTTCAGTTTGTCAATCAGCTTGTCAGCAAGTTGTCTTAATCTCTTGGTTTTGCCAAACAGGAATCAGAATAGAAACCAAAGCAGGACTTTGGAAAAGCCGCATTCTCTGGAATATATGAGAATGATGTAAGTATTTACCTTTTTATGGGAATGAAAATCAGCCAATTCTCTCTGTAGGCTCGAAACGTCAGCTTTGGAACTCTCTGCGATGGCCAATTTACGTCATCGACTCAGTTGATAATACTAGAGTACTTCGTAGCTGTAGTTTACTTTTAGAGGGGAATAAAGAAGTTATGATTTTCAACATTTTTTGCCTTATTTAATTCCTTTTGCCCCAAGAAACAAGGCAACTAATCTTTCCAACCCTCATTAAAGTCTGGTTCCTTATAATCCCTCAGATCATCTCACTTTTTGCCGAGTGACTATGACATAACTACAATCAAGACATTGAGAACATCGTATTATAGAAAGCCAACATCGTCTGCAACTCTTAGGCGATTGAAAATATTGAGACATTGCTTCTTTCGAGCGCCATACGTCTGAATTTTGAATTAACTTTTTCTAAGCATTTTCTCTTTTTCTGTTTGTTTTTTAATTGTTTTTTTTTTTATTTTATCGTAGGAGGTGATGTTACTTGGTGAGGATGGACAAAGGAGTTTCTGATATTTTTAGCTTTGTGATTTGATACCTGTGAGAGTATAAAAATATAGTAAAAGATTTTTAAAAGTAGATTTAAAGTGACTTTGTGGATTTTGTGGTGGGGTTCTTTATTACGTCATCTGCTATTAAGCTCTTAATTCAGATGTATGTAAAATATTCGTCTAACTATGCGTAGATCAATCGTCACGGCATTAAGTACCTTCAGAACCAACTGGGCGGCGTGTTAAAGGATTCGCTCTCCATTGAGGAAAGGGACAAAGTTAAAGGAATTGGAATGAAGACCAGTAAACATGTTTTTCTCTGTCGTTCATTCCTTTCCTATGCTCTATCGCAAGAACTACATTTCTGTTCTCTAGAACAGTTGCTGCAACTTTTTTCCTTCTCTTCCAAACTGAGAACACCGGTCAGAAAATTAGACGACAGGGTTTCTGGTATCAAATAATGTTATTGCGAATTGAAATTAGGAAACTCATCAAAAACGACTAACATAATGCTAATTACGTCAAAATACTGATCTACTTGTACCCGACTTAACATTCGTTATGATACATTACGAAGGTCTACTAAGAACAGATTGCAGGAGAGATCATTAACTCGTGGTTTTGGTTTTAAGTGATAAGAACAAATATTTCACAATTTTCTGTTTTTTCTCAGGTTCAATGTTCGATAGCCCATGTCCTCTTAAGTTGGCTAGCTATTTCCCATTTTCATACTTCAAATAACATTCCACAGTGGGCCGTAACTTGTCCTCGCTTCTCACACGTTTCTCCACTTTGTAACAAGTAATCACGCTCCGATTCAATTAGAGCGTGAGCTGCCTCAGAGATGCACTTGACTCCCAAAAATTAGGCGCATAAATTTTCTCTCGGACTTGATACACAATGTCATGAACCCTTAAATGGGCTTCATCTAGCAAATGTGTATGTGTACCTAAAGGCTGTTCGTGATCGTGGGGGGTGCAACAAGACCCTTAGTTGGGTGTTTCTAGGATAAATTCTTCATTCACTGATGAACATACCTGATTACCATTGTCGGGCTTTCGTAAAGGTGGAGGGGGTGAGCGAGGTCTGTTACGCGTCCTGCATACTGCTAGGATTAGCTTTTCTTATTCTAAAACTTGACGCTATCAACATTTCTGATACTAGCAGTATATGAACTTCGCAATAGACCTCGCTCACCGTGGAGTCTCTGTGGCTCAGTGGTTGAGCATCGGAGCGCGGAATCCGAAGGTCTGAGGTTCGATTCCTCATAGGGACTCAGAATTTTTTCTTTGTCCCACGCTCGTGACAAGACGAAAAACATATATTTTGTCTCCACTACACAACAAATAACACAGTAGTGTACACCAAATAAGTTTATTTAGGGAAGCCTGCCGAGAACCAACCCGAGGCATATATAGTCCGGGGAATGCATACATACATATATTCGCAACTGATATACCATATACAATCCTGATATACAGTCAATTCCTTACACATTAAAAAAAAAAGGTATACATTACTAACATGCAAACTTCACCAAGTCTGGATTAACAGAGATGGGCAGCCGCTTACAAGGACATAACTACGGTTATACAGAGGCCAGAAAAAACCTGCCAGAAAAAACCCCTTTGGGGAAAAAACATGACAGGAAATCTGGGTAGGAACCATGGCCCAAACTCAGAGAAGTTGGCAGCCCATCCTACGAGGCTTCACAGCTAAAGAAAAATATGTTTTCAAACTAAAATAAATTTTTCATCAGCCAGAGGTGAACGGTTGGTTCTGAGCCCTAGATGGACACCACGTGCTATACTTTCCCTTATATACCACTGCATCATTACCCATAATGCTCGGGCCTAAGGCCCAGTCCTTGTCGTATCTCGTGCCGACAAAATATTTATTTCTGCCTTATTCGCAGACTCATTTTCACAGAAATACCATATTTTGTCTCCACTACGCAACAAATAACACAGTAGTGTACACCAAATAAGTCTATTTAGGGAAGCCTGCCGAGAACCAACCCGAGGCATATATGGACTGACAAAGAATTGGGCAAGACGCACGAGGCTAGGTGATATAATACCACCAGAAAGAACACGAAAACGCCTTCAGAGCCCAAGAAAACGCGACACTTTGAGTCATTGCTCAAAATTATCGTCTACGTATGTGTCTTTGGCTTGTACCGATTTCCAACAACCATGTCGTTGGAAAACTCTGTCGTTTACTCCATTATTTGCTATCGTAATGGCTCCCCCAGATCTTAGAGAATGCAAACCCAACTTGGACGGTTCAACTCCGAGACTTTGCAGGTCCCAGCGAAAAGCCCCTCTAATTGTGGAGTAACTAATGGGCTTATCAGGGGCAACAAGCTTGCAAGAGCCCTTCACTTTAGAAATAGGCTTGAAATAAAATCTTTGGAATCAGGGTGTATCTTAAACATAACTAAACACCTCTTAAGCAACTCAACGGGACATACAGAACTAGGCAATTATAAGATAACGACTTCGTCGCCTTTACGGAGCTGGACATTCTTGCTTTTCAAAACCTTAATAATCATGAAGCCTTCTTTAAGGGAAATATCACTTCTTATTCTAGACACTTCGTTAAACCTAAAGAAACCGGCAAAAGATAAAACATACATGGTAACATTACGCAACTTTACAAGGTTATCTAAGTCTGATTTGTTAATAATGTCGTGGATTAAAAGGGCCGAAATGGGTTCTTTACGACTGAGGACACTGGTACCAAGAACTCTTTTGGACGTCGTCCTCACGGCTTCAGCAATTGGGTCATCAGTTGGGGAGGGTATTCCTGCCAAGTCACAGGCCCATTTTAAGCCATAGAAAGCAGAATCGACCGCGTTAGGGGAGTGGGTTTCCACTAGTAGACGCTAGGGGAGTGGGTTTCTTCTAGAAGATGTTGTAAATACAAAGCCACATGAAAAGGGCTAGCGGGAA